CCTACTGCTACATGTTAATCTTGGAGAAAACAAGATTAACATGTAGCAGTAGGAGAACAAGATTAACATGTAGCAGTAGGCAAGATTAACATGTAGCAGTAGGTTCTCCTACTGCTACATGTTGATCTAGGTCTCTTACTACTACTACAGGTTAATCTTGGTCTCCTACTACTACTACAAGTTAATCTTGGTCTCCTACTACAACATGTTTATCTTGGTATCTTACTGCTATATGTTTTTTTTAACTTCAATATTTTTCAATACTTGATGCCTAGATAAACAGATTACTGGACCATATTATCTTTTTTGTTTTACTTTATCAACACAAAGAATTAAAATGTTACAACTCCATTTATTTACATTATCAAAGACTTGATCTTTCAAGGCTGTCACGTTAGTTCATAATAACTCCACCATCATTTTACCTTAATTGGTGCCTGGACTAGAAGATTAACTTGTGCAACAAGGCCATACAGAATTTCTGTCTCCAACTTCCTGAAAACAAACAATTAAAACAATTGGTCAAACAACAATCTCTGACCACTACAATACCACGTTTCCATGGTGATGATTTTTCTCGTTAATTCGAAGACATTTTTAATCTCTAATGGAGACCCCCTCCCCTGGCCTCCCTGAGTGAAACAAATTGAAATAATTGTGGGACTAGTGAAATAAAATAAATAAAATTGTAAACTTTAACACACACTCTCCAAAAATAACAAGTTTACATGTAAAACTAATTTTAAGAATTATCTATTTTGTTGATAATGTGCAGATAACATTTCATGCATTTGTAAAATTAAAAGTCACCAATTAATTAAAACTTTTTTAAAATTTTGATCAGTTATTACACTTTCCACACCTACCAAAAAATGCAGGTAGTTACTAACCTTGGACTTTCACTCGTATGCAGTTTGGGTTGGATATTCCAGTGTTCTAATCTTTTGCAGATTGTCTCCATGGCCAGAATGTGTTTATTTACCTAATACAGAGCAAAAGAAGTTTAACTTAACTTAAAAACCTATTTTTGTATTTACGTATGGTATATTCCTACTGAAAATCACAGGTTAAATGTTTCCTTTTGTTCTAAATTTACAACAGAAAATTAAAACACTTTGTAATTTTGCCACAAGAATAAAAACTCTGTCACCATTTGATCCAGTCACTTTTACAACCGTTTGTCTCCATAAAAGCAGAGTTGAATGGAATTCTATACAGTCAGATATTTAGGACAAAATATGTATTGATGTTGTGACGAGGAAAAATATAGGGGTGGGTGTAACTGTTAAGTAGACTTTCAAGGTCTCAACCAAGTGTTGAGGGTGGGTGTGATTGTTAAGTAGAATTTCAAGCTCTCGACCAAGTGCTTGAGGGTGGGTGTGATTGTTAAGTAGAATGAAGGGTTTATGTTTTGTTTTCTTCCTTTGAAGGTTTGAGGCAGTAACCATCGGGTCAGTGACCTTCTATCAACTTGTTCCATATACATTGTTCTTTGGATAACCTATCATTTACTAGTGAAGAGAAATGCTAGTACTAGTACATCTGCCATAAAAAAGGTTTTTTTAGAAGTATTTAAAGGATATTTTTCAATATGCAGCTATGCATGTTAAACATTTAAAACCTTCTGATGGGTAGCTAAAGACCAGGATGTTAAAATAATAATTTGAAAATATAGAAAAAGGAAATGAAAACAGCAACATACCTTCTCCGAATTAACTTTCATTTCTGTTATTTTATCAGCAGCTTCCATCAGATCTCGGTATCTTTCTCTGTTAATGACAGATAGTAAATTTACTTACGATGAAACTGAACAACAACAAAAGGAAATGTACAACGGTAAAAGACGATGCTGTTGAATATTTAACATTGTGATCTGACTATACTTGTATAGCAGCAAGGATGTTTCAAGTGCAAGTTGTTTTTAATAATTTCACGTGATTTGTAACAAACCAGTCAAATTATAGCAAAAACATATATATTTTTTCATTATAGCTTAGTTTTGTCTTGTTCTCACATTTTTTTTATGAAAGATGTAAGTTGCTAACAGTATATTAAATCTTCTAATTGAATCCCAAATTTAATTTGAGTTTATTTTTAACATTACCATAAAACGATATAAAACAAATAAGAGTCATGAAACTATACGACTTCATATTAATATGTGAATCTTTTCTAATTCTAATATAAATGTTATTTAAGACTATTCATAAAGTTATTCCATTTACTAAAATTCTCATTAAAACAAAAATATTAACTCCATTAATCTCTATATACAGAAAGTTAAATATACTTATTGTTTGTTAAAACAGATAATATTAATCTTAAACATACAAATATCAATAAAATTTTAATATCAAAATCTTACATGCTTTGGCTCTCTGCTTTCCTGTAAGGACTACTTTATATATAAAGTTCTTATGTTTACATTAAAAGTAATATTAATACATACCCCACCATCTGACGCAGATCTTCTTTCTTCCTTTCAATATCATTTCTTTGAAAACAAATTGTATTTCCATAAAACTTCTTATCAAAAACATTTAAAATCACAACACAAATAATTTATTGTAATATATATTACGTATACGAGGTTGTTACATGTAAAAGGTAGGTTTAAAAAGTTTCAAAACCTATTTAACTTCATACTACCAGTATATCATAAAACTCATCTATACACAAAGATTCAACCAATATTTTCTATTTAATAGTCTCAAAACTTAATGTTCAACTCCTCAACATTTAACATCAACAACTAAACTTTAAATATGATTTATTAGTAGAGAGAAATGAAATTAAAATATGACATTTTTCAGCTTTTGATAAACTTGAACATAAAATTGATGATGGGAAAAGAAGTTTATGACAAATTGTCATTTTTAAATGTTCTTGTTAAAAAGACAAACATAGGCTTCCAAACCTCCGTATTTCATAAGAACACTCACACTGTTCCTTGGAATTCCCTTCATAACCAATGCCAAAAGTTAAGTATATCAAAAAATGTTGTTCCTAAAAATAAATTCATAAGTTCCAATGTTGATTGTTTCACAAAAGAAAATGCCAATCTTAGGTTTCAGTTTTGTGTACAAAACAATTTCCTTCCAATTGTTGTTAATCAAGTAACTATTTATTTTAAAAATAAGCCAGAAATTCACATACAATATGAATCTTTGGCAGATATTTGTTTACTGTGTTTTACCATTATTCTCAACTTTCTTTCATGTTATAAAACAAAAACTGGTTAAAAAGAGTATAAAATTGACATTAAAATACAATTTACATTTCTATCTGGAAAACAATAGGTCAACTGCTATTCAAAAAGTATATGGATAATGATAGCTGAGGAAATGTGTACGCAAAGAATGTACTGATTGCAAAAGCAGTTATATTGACAAGTCAAACAGACATCTTTCTACACCTCTGCAGGAATATTTTAAATCTCCATCTAATGTTTTTTGAACACATCTAGGAAGAATTATTCTTTTTATTCTTCTAAGGTAAAAAAATTCTCAGCAGAGAAGACAACATTAAAAGATGGAAATAAAAAACCTTATTAATACAAACACAAAACCCTATTCTTAAGAACTATATATAGGTGTTTATTTACATCTGTTTTAATCGTTCTATCTTCCCCTGTATATAAAATACATTTCCATACTTAGGCTTAGCTATTCAAGCCATATTTTTATATTTGAAGATGATAAACAGATAAAAAATAAAAAAGCCCTATTAATACAAACACAAATACATTGGTGTTTGTTTATATCTGTTTAATCCTTCCATCTTCTCTTGTTTATAAAAGAAATTTCCATACTTAGGCTTAGCTGTTCAAGCTATATTTTTATATTTGATGATGATAAACAGATAAAAATAAAAAGCCCTATTAATACAAACACAAATACATTGGTGTTTGTTTATATCTGTTTAATCCTTCCATCTTCTCTTGTTTATAAAAGAAATTTCCATACTTAGGCTTAGCTGTTCAAGCCTTATTTTTATGTTTACATAATTGATAGTTAATTTATAAATACTTTATGATTCTATTAGTTTAAACTAATTTCTGTTAGCCTCAGTTTTTGTATCTCACATGATGATGTCAGGTAAACCTTGTGATATGTCATAAATATAAACAAATTTTATTCCGTACAACTAATAAAACTTTGTCTGAAATTGAAAAAACAAAGTTCATATTCTAATATTTAAATACCCCTCCAAAAAAACCTTTTATTTATCTCCATTTTAATCTAGTTCAAGTACATTACCTTATTTTTTTCTCAATATCCTGAATCTCCTTTACAGTGTGGTGTTCAAAAAGTGTATCAGTTTCCATCATAGCCAGTTTCATTCCTCGAAAATAATAATTTTAATAAAATATATTAATGAATTTCCATAAAGTATGATTTTTTAAAATAACATTACATTTCAATGCATCCTGTAGCTTATTTTTTTATTGTTATTAAAGTCACACATTTACATTTATCAATCATTACTTTACCATAGCATACGACATTTTTATTGGTTTCATTTAACTAGTGGTAGGACAAATAGGATTTTAGGTTGTATCTGCAGAAATACTGAATGCATGTCTAAAGAGATTATAATTTCATTGTATAGGTCACTGGTTAGGCCAGATTTGGAGTATTATGTTTAGTCTTGGGCTCCATACCTTAGGAAAGACATTTAATTGTTGGAAAAAGTCAGAAGAGGGCAACTTGTATGATACTTGGAATGGAAAAGTTGTTATACAAGGATAGGTTAAGATTTCTGAAATTGTTTTTTTTTCTTGACAAAAAGTGTTATAGTAGATCTGACTGAGGTGTTTATGATTAAGGGAATTAATAGTATTGTTGCATCATCTTTATCATACTTACTGGTAATAATGGTAGGACTAGGGGACACAATTACGTCATATTTACTGGTGATAATGGTAGGACTAGGGGACACATTTACGTCATACTTACTGGTAATAATGGTAGGACTAGGGGACACAATTACGTCATACTTACTGGTAATAATGGTAGGACTAGGGGACACAATTACATCATACTTACTGGTAATAATGGTAAGACTAGGGGATACATTTACATCATACTTACTGGTGATAATAGTAGGACTAGGGGACACAATTACATCATACTTACTGGTGATAATGGTAGGACTATGGGACACAATTACATCATACTTACTGGTGATAATGGTAGGACTAT